CTCTCTTGGGAGGCTCATGCTGACAGGTAAATGTGTAGATAGAATTCATTAGAAGCCAGCAAGTGTGTGTTCAGTAGCTTCAAAACATTTGCCCCGCAGTTACACACTGAAAACCATCTAGGAAATGGGGCAATTAAAAGCACTAAGTATCTGGAGACAAATCAAATCCACCTTGAACTTCCTTCATTAAACACGCACAAGCATGCAAGCAGTTTGCGTCAGTGTAATTACAAGACTTGGATATTGTTATTGTTACTATGACCCAGTGCTTTGTATGAAACTGTGCAGTGTAATGCAGTTATATTTCTGCTCTGCATTTGAAAGATGATAGGAGTGGCTTGGTTGTCATGCCAGAGTTTTCAAAGGACTCTTTGTGTAGAAGCGTCGGTCATAGCCAGAGACATCCTCCTGGTATTTATCCTAGAGTTCCTCCAGATGCTGCAAATTGTATCAAATTGGGCCATGTTAAGGCCCACTTTCATAACATGGATAGCTGCTCCACAGACCTTCAGTGATTCCCAACCAGAGGAAGGCTACTTGTGCTCCTAGGGGTACTTCTGCAGTTACCAGAGGAGGTATGTAGAGGCTGTTGGGTAACTCAGCTAATTAAGAAAATTACATGATGTAACACCTAAACTGTGTTGTGATTGAGTGTGTGAAAACTGACTTTCAAGTGTACAGAAAGGTATAAACAGTAAAAGTAATGAATACACAGTAAAAACAGTTAGCTAAGAGTACTAAACAGTAGAAATAGTTAACACTAGCTAACCGAAATTAAACTTGTTAAAATAGCTAAACGGTAAATGGATAAATGGCCGATATAGATAGGTTAGCTAAGCTAAGGTCATGGATAAACACTCTAAAGTAATATTAGTCAACTTATGCTAGCTAAATAAACACTTGAAATAGTCAGCTAGCTAAAAGGAATATATAAGCCCTTAAAATAGTTAGCTAACCCTAGCTTAATGTAATGGATAAACCATTAAAACAGTCAGCTAACACTACTTAAAGGTAGGCTAATAAATGCACACTGGAAGTGGTCAGCTATGTTAACTAAAAGTAATGGATAAACAGTTAAAATAGTCAGTTAACGCTAGCTTAAGGTAGGCTAATGGATACACACTTGAAATGGTCGGCTAAGTTAACAAAAAGTAATGGATAAACAGTTAAAATAGTTAGCTAACGCTAGCTTAAGGTTGTGGATATTCCCCTCAAACAGTCAGCTAACACTAACTAAATGTAGGCTAATGGAAACACATTGGAAATAGTCAGCTAAGTTAGCCAAAAGTAATGGATAAACAGATGTAAAAGTCAGCTAACGCCAGCTTAAGGTAATGAATAAACACTTAAAATGGTCAGCTTACATGAGCTAAAGGTAGGCTAATGGATACACACTTAACATGGTCAGGTAAGTTAGCTAAAAGCACTAGGCTTGACTTGGTTTAAGTAATAGATAAATACTTAAAACAGTTAGCTAACAACTGCTAAGGGTAACGTTAGGCTAATGAACCAACACTGCAAGTGATAGTTGAAATAGTCAGCTAACACAAGCTTAAGGTAACGGATAACCAATTTAAATAGTGGCTGGGTAAAAGTAATGGATAAACACTGAAAATAGCTAACACTTGCTAAAGGTAGGCAAATGGATAAATCCTTGAAATGGTCAGCTAGGTAAAAGAATGGATAAACACTTGAAATAGTCAGCTTAAGGTAATGGATGGGTCCATGTCATTGGTCCGACAGCCCATTGGTCCGACGGTCCACGGTGCTGAAAGGCTCCCGGTGGGCGTATTTCTACCTTGATGGTGCGCCGCCACGACCGGCTCTGGGTCAGCTGGGAAAAGCTTGAGGCGGAGCAGGCTCACAACTTATGTGTTTGCCACTTTCTTTTTCATTTTAACCCACACCATGATCTTTTCCTTAATGTTAATGTAGTTTATTAAGCAGTAAAGGAATAAAATTACAGAGCTCTGGGTCTCAACTTCACGTCCCTGACGAACAACAAAGGTGTGTCAGTTCACGAAGTCTGACCTCCTGTCCTTTCCCTGACCCAGTATATTTGAGCGTAACAGAGTGTCATTGTGCGCGCAAGGCGTTGTCCTCTTCTCATTGGCAGTTCCACTTCCTCCTTCACCACACCACGCCTCTGCCTCGTGTTAATCTGACTCCTTCCCGCTGGCGGTGGGGGCGTGGTTCCTGTTTTGAAAGACAAGAGAACAACACAACTCCCTACACGTGCTGTACCTTACTATCTGTATATCACTTTCTATTCTTTTTACCATATATGAAACTAATTATCTAAGCATTGCGGTATGTGCTCCTCAGACTTCATGTCTCTTCCTCTCCTGTACTTCTCCACTTCTGCAAAGCAAACACATTCAGATCAGCTGAAATCATCTCAGTATTCTCATTGTTCACACATCTAAAACTTATATAGTGAAACACAACTTATAGTAAAACACATAACATCATTCTATTCCCAACAGCCTAAACCTAACCAGACCTTAACCACAGGGCATCATGATGATTTCGGAACGGACTTCGGAACAATGGGTTTAATATGGTAGGAACAATGGGATGTCAGACCAATGGGCTGACGGACCAATGGGCAGTTCCCCACTTGAACACTTGAATTAGCTAATCACAATGGATACAAGGTCTCAATTATGGATTGTGGACAGTTGAAATAGCTAATTGATTGAGCTGAAATAGCTAAACATAATTGAATAACTGATTGAAATTGGCCAGCTAGCTAAAGGTGATAGTACTAGCACTAAAGTTGTTAGCTAAAAGAAATGGCTAAATGAATAGTTGAAATACTTAGCTAATGCAGTCTAATATAGGCCTATCAGTCCTGCAATACATTATACCTTGTTAAAATGTTCAGGTTTTCTTTAAACTGCTTGAGGTGTTAATTATTTTGGAGGCTGCAGTTTGTAGTGCTCTTGATCTGTGTTTCTATTATTTAGCCTACCTACTGATATAAATGGGCTGGACAAAATAATATTAACACCTCTCGATAACGTGCAATTTAATACAAGGTAATTGTAATAGACAGCATTTTGCCTAATTTATACTTCTGTGGCTGTGCGCATATGCGTTCTGTACAGGAATCTGTCACCTATACCAGGTATAGAACTGTGGCGGATTGTGCATAGCATGTAATTTCACACGTGTGTTGGGACCAGAACTGTCCGGGAATCCCATCTCCTGGCTCTGGTGTCCAATCAAACGTCTGCGGCATCTGCCTTGCCTGGTGGGTTGACACATTTTTCAGGAGATGTGCGGCGCGTCTTTGCGGCTCTCTGCAACCCCTGCAATTCAGCTCTGCAGCTGTGACGAAGCTCTGTGCAAGGTTTCCTGCAGAAGTATAAATGAAGCATTAGTTTTAGGTGTAGGCTACCTACTGGCAACTTAGTGTGGACACTCAAAGTAATGGATTAATAGGCTAATTTAGATGTCAAGTTTCTGCCACTCCAAGTTGTATAGTGCAAATGCAAACTTGACTACATTGACAAAATTGTGTGAAAAAATATACACATTTATGTAATTTGGAACATGACAGGTGGTGTCGATGAGTTGATTAAGGGATACTTGAGTTTATCTGACAGGGCTCTAGGAGTGCATCTGTCGAGGAAAGGTGAGAACCACTGCTCTATACACTTACAACAAGAGGCTTATAACATGATACAGAAACAGATCAAGACACTGATTGAGGCTATAGTACAGAAACAGCTCAGCTGCAGCCAGCTGCTCTCTCAGACAGGTCGCTAAGCAGATAGCACTGCATGTATTTGTCTCTCCGGGGGTCAGATCTTTTCACCGCGGCCATCGACACCAGCAACATGCCTGGGGGTGGAGTGAGACTGTTGGACAGTCATAAGACAAATGCTGCCTCCTTCTCTAATTAGATTTGTCATGGGTTGCAAGATGAGCTGTAATCAGCTGTGGCGCTCAGCCCATGTCTCCACACAGACATGATGTTTCCGTGGTGATCCGACAGGAAAGAGGACACCTCTGTCTTTTCAAAACATCCATTCAGTAACCTTTTTAAAAGTTTCCCTGGTAAATATTCACTTTAGAGAGGTTTGCCTATCTCAGCTGTGGTGGAAGGGAGAATGAATGGGCAGACTACTGGTCTTTCTCTCCCCTCCACTGTGTGTTTTGGATGGCAGTCCTGTGAGTGGTGATGGTGCTCGGGGACCACTCATGAGAGAGACAGACGTGCATCTTTGTGGGTTGAATGAGAGGAGGGAGCCAACTTTCTTTGGGTTGTTTAAGATCTTATGGGAGAAGAGAAATGTGTTGTTTCCAGACAGTCAAAGGGAAAGTGATGATGCAGCATGGATGAGAAGGGGAGATGAATGGGATCTGTTACATAACCTGTTTTCCAAGGTTTCAGGCTGAGTTTGAACTGTGAGCTTCCCATACCTTTTACTGCCAGATCAAAGCATGTGTGTGAGCCTGCAAATTACCAGGATGCACATTTTACTTGATGTCATCTGTAAAGATTGAACTGCAGCACTGTAAATTGAACTCAAAGTGCTTCACACTGTGCTGTGGTCCTGTGAGATGAAATAATTAGTCCACACTCAATTAATTCAAATCAATATAAAAGGGAGTGCATTCTCTCAAATAATCCAGCAATCAGTGCTGTAGGTTCTTAAAGAAAAACATCTGGTTTTTGAAGTTTTATGATATTGTAGTAGCTTGCCAATTCAGATTTAAATGGAAGGTAACGATTAACGCAGCTGCATTCATGTTAATTCCAATAGTCTTGTTCAAAGGGATCACAGAGAAAGACGCACAGTAACATGATGTAACTTGGCAGGGAAAGTGCGTGTGGGCACATGGACCGAGCGGTGCCGTGAGTGAAGCAACAATACAGCCGACAAGGGGGAGTTTCTTCTTGCAAAGCGCATGCAATCCCTACAAAAATTCCCGGTGACTTCAGATCCAAGGAGGTGGTGATATTCATGGGAGCACGATTCAAACTCTCTCACTTGGAGTACAGCTTCAGCAGCCCTGGAGCCAGCGCGCTGCTCTCTTTGCGCCTCTTTTTCTTGTTTAACATAAACTGAAACAGATGGAATAATGTTTGCTTGAAATAACAGTTTTTCATCGCTGGAAGGAGAGAAGCTTAAAGTTTTCTCACTTTTGGACTGTAGTTAGGTGCTGATTTGACAACCTGAAGACGTTTTGCGCAAAGTCTTACCTGGGCATTATGAAGAGGTATCCAGGCTTCTTTCATTCATGGGAGAGGATGCCGACTTGCTGAACTCGTGCAACGCAATCGCGGACTTTTATTTCATTTACTCGTTTTTTAGTGGCTCTCCATAAAACTAACGCGGTCTCCACTTTTACGCGGTACTTTCAAAACTTTGCATGCCCAAAATGGACCGTGCAGGATTTGCTGTTTTGATGGTTTTGACTGTTGCACTTGTGCGTATTGGTGACAGTCACAAGGACACAACAGGTGGGAGGAAAGAGGGTGCAGCAGTAGTCCAGCAGCAGTCCCGGGTGAGGAGTCAAGGTCACTCGCCAAGGGGACCAGAGGACGGTGCATCCTCCAGACCATCCGATGACACTTTCCCTGGGAACAGCCAGTTTAGGACTCTAGTCCGCCTGCCCAGGGGCGCGCCATCCCAAGGGGATGGCAGGCACATATCCAAAGCAGGACCGGCTCATGCTGCAGGCGCCTCCCGGGAAGACGTCTCTGCGCCGCGGGATGGTGAGCTGCGCACCGCCAGACTCCCGGCCAGCCAGCAGCAGCAGCACAGAACCAGAGTGAACCGCAGGCAGAGCAAGCCCAGCTCTGCCAGTACAAGGAGACTTGTTGGGTAAGAATGGCAGCCAAGGGCTCTACAGTCTACTGTAAAAATGTTTTGCTTTGCTTTATCAAGCTGTTCAAGCCATTCAGATTCACTGTTAGAGCAGAACTTTCCAAGGAATTTGTGTGACCTATTTTACTGTACATGAGTCCATGTGGTTTACAGTAAAGTGGCGGTGGCCCACTTAAGCAGAATCTCTCTTCCTGTAAGGCAAACCAAGTAATGATGTAACATAACTACCCACAGAAAATGGTAATAAAGTGTTGCCCAATTTCAGTTAAAACCTGTGTGGATATAAAGCATGAAACTGTCATTCAGTAGGTGAAAGAGCTGTGTGTGAATTACTGTAATATATGTAGCCTACTTTGTCATCAGGGTCATGGCAGGACATGGATTAATAGCTGAGGCTAAACACTGTGCTGATTACTGGGTTGATAGTGAAGCTTATAATGAACAGCAAATGTATATGAATGGGTGAGTTGTGTTTGAACTGTTCTGAGTCTAATGCAACACTGCATTATCACCATTTCCTCCCATTACTTCACATTACAGTATATTTAAATCGTAGTAGGAGAGTGACTGCAGACTACTTCAATGTGTGTGCCCCAGTTTTGTGCTCTCGCCTGTGGCCATGTATTGTAGTGGTTCAGCCGGAGCCTTGGCTGGTGAACATTTGCAAATTTGCTTAGTGATCAGAAACACCTGTTTCTCCGATGGCCCTCTCTCAACACTGCAAATCCCTATTTTTTTTGTCTCTGTTAGACTCCAAACAGGACGATGGGTTGTTTCCATATTAGAGCCCTTTTCTTCTTGTTAAATGAACCCTCGTGCATCCAGTCCTGTTTGTTCCATAGGGACAAAGCATGATACACACTGGAGGGGAGAGTGTTTACATAATAATCAGAGGGGGATTTGGATGGCTCACCTTGGGTCGCAGACACCGAAATATAAATGAAATATCTCTTTTGTGTGTCATAAAAGGGACTCATGCCTTTAGGAAATGGATTATTTATATGGCCAATTTATGGAGAGCACTTTACAAGCAATAGGAGGGTTCAGCCAGTTGGTTCGCCATCTGTAGACATACATATAAGTGCACTCACCTGCCTTCAGCCTAAATCATGATAACACCCAAGAGAAATGATGGACACTGGACAGTTTTGTCTGGTGCTTGTATCTGCATTTACTGACTGCCCACAGAATAAATGTGCGCACCATCAGTATGCCCTGAGCCATTCCACCTTAAAAACAACATTTCTCATCGTATCTGTCAGCCAGACAGTTGCACTCATGCATGGTTGAATTGAGGTGCTGTCTATTTAAAGCAGTGCATTAAGAAAATAGCTGTAGTATTTGATCCAACATGCTTTATTGCCTTGCGTGACATTGCCAAAAACACATATTACAGTGCTGAATGAATGGAGTTCTTTGACTTTAATGAAGCATAAAGGTGGTGTGACATAACTCTGCAGGAACATTACCTTGTAGGAGTCTGCATGGCAGCTTTTACACTTTGATTCATTAGCTCAAGATGAATCATCCGCCGCTTGTTAGAGAAAGTGTTTTCATGACACATTTCCTCTTGGAATTCCCACTTAACTTACTCATTTACTGTACCCAGAGGCACTGGCAGTGCTGGGTTCACTTAACTGTAGTATTTACATTCATGTTGACTCAGTATGACTCCCCTTCTGTTTTCAGTGCACCTGTCAGACGTTTGACTGGTCCACATAGCTCAGTGGTGAAATAATACTCCGCAGAGTCATGTTCAGGTTTTAAATAAAAATATAACTAGGTGTGAACATGGTGTTATCTATGTTTTAACCTGGGGCAGGATCCTAATTATGTTGTATAAAGTTCTCTTATTACATACATATATCCCTTGATGGAATTTGAATGTGATGACTGATGTCTTTGGTCACGGGCCTGGCCTGATGTGTTTGATTTATGACAAAGCTAAGCCTGCCAGAGGGCCCAAACAACTGCATGTTATCCCTGTGACGCCTCAGTAACACTCGCAGAATCTAATGAGTGCAATCCGACTGAGGTCAATGAGTCAATTCCCGTTATCTTTTCGAATCACCATGAGTCAGACATCCACTTACTGTAATATCTTGTGAAAAGATGATGGGGCACAGATCCATGCCAGCGCGTTGACTGTTGCCCTGAAGTTGCTCTTGCGGTCTGGTGCCTTTTCATCTATCTCACTGCAAAAATTGGCCCGCGCTGCAAGTGCGGATTAAAGAGTGCAAAGAATCCAGTTATAGCTGTTTAAAACTTGTCATCTCTCATTTGCTCAGTGATTTATAGAAGATGCAGGGTGCTTTTCATGTCCCGTGTGTCTCGCATAATCCCTTCAAGGCTCAGATAACTCTGTATTTGTTTTCACTCTGGACTCTCGCATAACAGAAAGAGGGACTTGTGGCTCCACATTCAGATAGAGTTTCGTGACTTGCCCTGAAATTTTTATCAAATGAAATGCAATTATAGCATAATCTCTAAAGTGTTCGTATCAATGGGCCAGCCACATCAGAATGATCTGTGAGTATAACAGCCTTTGCAATCGGATCAGTTTGTCATGCAAAGGTTTGAGGCCTTCCACACTCGCTGTTATTGCTTTATGGATTATGAAAAGGCCCTCTATATTAAGGAAAGCTTGAAACAGTACTGTCAGTGTCTTATCTCACTGTGGTTTTTGAATGTCTGCCTTTCTTCAGGCCTAATGTCTGTGGAGGTCAGCAATGTTGCTCAGGCTGGGCTTTGGCACCGGGAACCAATCGCTGCATAAAACGTAAGTAAAATCTAAATGTATGCATTCTGCCTGAATACTCTTTTATTCAGCTAGAAGGAAAACTGTATTCTTTGCAAACTGAGGTCATCTTATGTGAAGTCTTGAAGTGGCACACAAGCACACTGACATGCATTACGTATATTAGAGCTGGTAAACTTCACAGACAGAGAGGCTTTACAATCTCAAGCAGGCAGACTGAAAAATAACACAGTAAATGGCAACTAATGACTGTCCTGTCAAGTGGAATTGCCCAATGAAAGTTTTCCTAGGGTGTTATTGCCCCCATGCCTTTTCTCTTCATCTAAGATCCTCATGTAGAAATTACCAGCACTTAGCACTTGGCTCTCTTTTTGACACAAGCCCTTAATTATGGGTGGAACTGCTTCTTCTTTTATTTGACCACAGCAGTATTGGATATCCTAACTGCCAGATAATTAAAAGTGGAACAGAAGACACCGGCTGGGAATGAATAGTCGGCCACTTCTTTTAACGCAAAATTGTTACAACATTGATATGGTTGTCTCTAATTTGTACGCAGACTGTATAGAAAATCTGCTGGTATGACAGAGTCTTATCATTGACATATTCTCAATAAGGGGCCCAATTTGAAACAGAAATGGCTGCAGCTTACACTAGATGTACTCTTTGCATGTCATGTTTCAATTTCACGTTTACGACCACCATTGTTTGCTGCAGACTGAAATAACAGGTTGGAATTGGAGCTTTTGAGTGAGAGTTATCTTTAAATTTTACGAGTGAAGTAAAACCCACACAGCAGCGGGCTGGCATCTATCTGTCTATGCTTCTTTTTGACCTGTTTACTGTTGTCTCTGTTCCTCTCTGCTAATTATCCCCCTCTCACACACACATGCACACACAGTTAACACACATTTCAGCCAGTTGATTACACAACAAGCTGATTGGCCCCAGCAGCCTCCTAATTAGATCTCCTTTCCTCTTGCCCAGTGCAAAGCCTCCAAGTCCCAGCTAAAGGCACACTGACCAAGGTGTAAATTACATCTAACATGGAGCTGCAGTTACCCAAATTAAAAGGGTAAATACTTTTAATCTGCCAGAAAGTAACAGGTCCAGTCTAACGCACATGTGTTAAACAAGGCAGTGTATCTGAGCAGGCCAGGGGTCCGTCCAACCATCTGGACCCTCTTACAGCTTGGCCCTCACCCAGGTCTGACTGGAGGCTATGCTATCATCAGCTGAGTGAAGCCCCACGGCCGGCAAAGTGCCAACACAAAGGCCCCAGACTGGAGCTGGGACTGGAAGCCCCCACATAGAAGACCTCCGTGGAGGAAAACAGGCTCAGGCTATCTTTATTCCGTCGCCGCCTGAGACCCAGGCGGCTTTATTAGGAGATGGCAGCACAAGAAAACATGTTCACAGCGGGGGAAAAGAAAAGGAGCAAACCTGTCGACTGCGAGCATAAGTAGAAACATATCGCGGCTGAGCTGCGTCTAGGAAATTCTCGCTGAAGGGATTTGAAGTAATGTCTAATATTAAAAATGTCAGCTGCAGGCTTCACCCGTGAGGCTGGATTGGGTGTCTACAGTTATGGCTTCTTAACAATACCTCCTTGTTAAATTGGGTTGAGCTCAGAGCAAATATATGACAGGAATTGGATCACTAATTGTCCAGGGAGTGCGCCTACATGTCTTTAGAAATGTGTTTATAAAATGGTCTAGGTCTGAGTCTCTGTGGGTCTGGTTGGAGATTGTTGTCTGGCTCGCTGAGGCCTCCATCCTGCCCATGTCCTGGCAGGTTTGGAGCTGACTGTCTCTGTTTTCGTCTTCAGGATGGATGGTTAGCAGACTTGTTTGTGTGTTAAAGTAAATTCCATGTGCTGAAAATAGCCAGCGATGTGCCATAGAAAGCTTTGATCCATTAAGAAAAATAGAACAGTGCATTTCCTCTGCTGTGGTTTATTTCTCTTCTGGGTAACTTAACTGCTGTAAATAAAGATACAACTTGATTGTTTTTTATAACTGAGGTTTAACCCAACCAGTATTGATTTTATTAATGGTGGCTGAGAACCAAAGGTGTGTGTTGTGTTTGGCTGGTAAAGCGAGGCCAGGTGTAAGCTTGGCTGTTTACTTGCAAGTGGGATTGAAGCTCCTGTCGAGATGAATGGAGAATCTTGTTTTTGGGTCAGCACTTAAACTTATTCCCCTCTGTGCTGTGATTCACATCTGCTAATCAAAAAGTATTGTAGCTGAGATGAAGAACAGAGGGAGGCCATGTTGTAGCCTCTCCCAGTTGCGGCCCACCAGTAATCTTGTCTTAGTTATAATACAAGACTGTCAGCTGCATTACTTTAGCTGTTAACACTGTCCTGACACGAAAACTGATGAAATGTTTGTGCTGAATGCTGTGGATAATCATTTAAATGTCTAAACTGTCTTCAACTCTCATGAAAATCTTCCAATGGTTTTCATGGAATATTTTACTACTTTAAAAGGCTTCAACAAGACATCAACAACATCATTCATAAAGTACGCCAGTAGTGGTAAGCCGTGGGAATCTTGCACACCTGACAGTAATCTCCAAAAAGACAAAACAGCAAGTTGTGTCAGTAAAATTTGTATTGTATATCAGTTTGTATTGTGAAATAGTTACAGAAATCTGTTTACAAAATAGTAAGCTCCTTAGCTCTGGAATTAGGATTAAAAATTTGAATTGCTGGCATGTTTTAGGGTAAATACAGCAACCCTCAATTAAATGTCTTGTACATAAGTGTAGAATTACTGTTTTGAAGTTTTGGTTTACAACATTTCTTGGAAAAAAAACAATTAAAGTAAGACCTTTTAAGAGCAGTGTTACTGGAGAATAGATTTGAATTTTATCTGTTCTCCTTTGTATCTGCTTTCAGAGGCTTCGCTCTTATCTTTGCACCTCTGAATGTGGTTTTCACTCAAACTGAGCTGTAAATGGATTCTTGGATTGGCTACCAGGAGGTACACAGGCTGTCTGAGCTAAAGGAGCTCTTTGGCAAGTCAGAGCTGTTGTGTAGATACCTACTAGTTTTACAGCAGTCTTCAGGCATGCAGCAGCTCTGTGAGGCTGTACTTACTGTAGACACTGCGGCGCTTTGAGCTAAATGTCAATGTCTGCATGCTAATCACCTTACAGTGACAATGGTAACATGCTGATGTGTGGCAGATCGAATGTTTACCATGTTCCCCATCTTAGTTTAGAGCGTGCCAAACCATCGTTTCGACAGCTTATAATTCCGAAGCCTAAGTACTCGAAAAATGTCCCATTGGACCAAAAGGCCATTTGTCCGCCAGCCTGGTATCCTAAACAGAAGCACATGGCTAATTATTATGCCGAATGACCCGCCATACTCTGCCTCCAGTTGGCATACCCTGATATTCTTACCCTACCCTAACCAAACTCACTCCTCATGCCCAATTTTAACCAACCCAACCAACAAAGATGACGAGTATTAGCCAGTCGAGGCAGAGTAGGGTGGGAGATGCCTTTACCATAGTCGGAAGGTCAAAGGGCGTCATCTGCATAATAATTAGCCACGTGCTTCAGGAGGCCCTTCGGAGCAATGCGAGTTTGTTTTCGGGATACTTGGCTGTTGGACAAATAGGCTTTCTGTCCAATTTGGTCCAGAATTATGAGCTGTTGGAGCAATGTGCAGTCTCCGTTTAGGTGGTTAGCATGCTAACATTTGCTAATCAGCATTAAAGTACAGCTGAGACTGCAGGAGTGACATTTGGTCATAAAAACACTATTGGACAAATTTAAATTCATCCTGAGGACATGAAGGTTTGTATCAAACATCACGGAAATCCATCCAATAGTTATGTCATCGAAAACCGCAGGCTGCTAGCATGGCTAAAAAAGAATGCTATGTGTTGGCGTAGCTCATTCTGGCAGGGTCACTATGCATCAGAGTTATGTTGTGTTGCTCTGGCTTCTCCAGTTGACGTGGCTGTTTTAGTAATCAGATTAATGGCACGGTCTACCACACACAGAGTGAATGCACGGGACAATGTAGAATACTTCAGACGGGGGACTTCAGACTCCCCGCAGCACAGACAGGAACTGGGTTTACATTCAACCTGAACTCATAGTGCTCCCCAAAGTGCTTTTAGATTCTGCGGTGGAATTCATTTCACCACACTATACATCACAATGTTTTGGCGAAAGCACGCGATATACACATGGCAACTCGCTGCGAGTATAGCCAACAGTGAGAGCACGACCCTCTAGAAGAAGCACACAGATGGCCTTTGATTTAAACCCCTCGCTGTCTTAGAGAGTGCAGATGAAAGGTGCATCATTCACGTGGAGGAATAAAGTTGTTTTCAGTCTCTTAAGCAGTTGGTGATTGACAGAGTGAAACGCGGTAGAGAGGAGTTTCTTTTTGATTGCTCTCCAGCTTTCTTTGGCCTGCTGTGCCGCTCAGGGCCCCATCCCAACCCTAAAATAACTCCTCATGCAGAAAGTCTCTCTCTCTTGCTTACCTCTGCCATCACAAGGTAAGCTATTCCTCTTTTTCCAAACAAAAACTTTAGCATATTTGCCTGATTCCATGTCACCAGTAAAATTTGAGTAGGATCGAGTTGTGTAAATCATTTTAAGGTATTGACATAGCTGTCACCATGACATTTTCATGGATATCAAAATTATCATGAAGCATAAAATCCACCTTTGTGTGTTATTTGTTGAATCATCAATCATAGATCTAAACCCATTCTTGTGTGTGAAGTGTGAAATGTGAAATGCATTTAGAGCCCTTTTTTTGTTACAACATGTGCAAAGCAGCTGGCAACTTATCAAGGACATACACGTGTGAACGTTTTCTAACCTCCAAAACAGTACCCAAAAAATGTAGGTTCACCATCTTCACCTAATAGATACAAGCCGTCTCAGTTTGCTTTGTGTAAACCTGACCTGACACACGACAGAAGATCCCCATATATTGGATCAGATCTTACAGTAAGATTTGTCCTCTGCATTGAAACAAAAACTCA